CGGGGGGGTTCGCTCTGCCTCCGAGAGAGACGTGGTGTCTGGATGCAAGAGGCTGGAGATGGACACACTCTGGCAATTCCCCAGTCTCCATGCCTGGGCTTCTGGGCCAATTACCCAGCGTTAGGTGTAAACAGCCATTACGGGCCCTTCCCGGGGGAGGGAAGAACTCCTGGGCCCGGTGCTGGGGCGGGGGAGAGCTGGGAGCTCTGGGGAGTTGTGAATATTTAACAATCATGGGTGATTAGCGGTGAGCCTAGCGCCAATGTGAGCTCTCAGGGGTCCTGAGGCCCTGCTGGTGCCGGGGGGGGGGGGGCGCGAGAGGCCTACGGGGTGTCACTGAGGGGTCAGAGATCAGTGGCTCCCATCCCACACTCACATCTTCCTGCCCGGCCCCTTTCATGGAAGGATCTTGAGAGCAAAAGGAAAGTCCCCTGGAGCGTATCCCCACCCCACACATGGGTAAACTGAGGCAGGGAGTTTGGGGTGGCAGGATGACGGACAGAGTCGGGAGTCCTGGCTTCCCTGCTGTAACCGTTTTCTCTCCAAACCAAAAGGCAGCTGGCAAGGACGCTGTGGGGAGCTTCTCAAATCTTGGCTGAAGTCCAGGTACGTCACACCTGCCACGAGGCCCATATTGACAGAGCCCGTTACCTCCTCCCGCCCAACGAACAGCCCTGCCGGAGCGGGACCCCATTGCCCTTTGGGTTACAGCAGGGGAGTCAGGGATCCCGACTCTGTCCTTCATCCTGCCACGCCAAACTCCCTGCCTCAGTTTGCCCATGTGTGGAATGGCCCAACAAGGAAAATAACACAACACCAGTGGTCATCTCCTGCCACTCCCAGCTTAAACCCTCCAGCGCATCGTTAACGATCCACAGCCTGTCCTGGAAAACAACCCCTCCCTCTCGCAGGCCTTGGGAGACAGGCCAGACCTCACCCACAGACACGCTCACCCGGACACTGCCCCCACAACAAACCCAGCTGCCAACTCGTCTACACAAGCGACAGCATCCCAGGGCCAATCACAACACCCCCACCTGGGGCTCACCCACCTGCACCTCCACCAATGTGATCTGTGCATCGAGTGCCAGCCAGGCTCCCTGCCATGGACACGAAGATCTGCTTCGGGGGGGGAGCTTCCCCCCCGTCCGAACCAGTTTTTCCCTTGCTGCAGCTCGTAATAAAACTGCCTCTGGCTACTTGTTCCTTAAACACAACGCAGAGTGAAGGCTTCTTTTCTTCCACACTTTGAAACTTCAGAGGCAGAAATGAGACGTGTGTACGGACAGGCCAATCATATTCAGCAAAGCGCAACTTTGCCACAGGACAGATTTCATACCGTGTGTGACGAGGTGTGGTCATAGGCGACCCCTCGGGGGTGCTGACACGGCCACTGCCACTCGCCTTCCTGCTCTCTGGGGCTCCTCACTGCCTAGTCCTGCTGGGCCTGCTCCCCCCCAGCCAAGGCCCCGAGCTGAGGACCCTGCCCCCCCGAGGAGCAGCACAGACTCTGAACTTGTTCAGGTCCAAGGAGAGGGCGGTTCAGGGCCCAGCCTCCTGGGATAGCACTCCCCGGATGGGATCAGACCCCAAAGAATTAGGTGAGCCACCTTTAATAATGAAAGGGAGAATTTTCACACTGGTTGCCCTCCCCCCTCCAGGTAACAATCACTTGCACTGGGTTTTATGAAGTGGAAGCCGTAGGATTGAAGTGGGAATAAGTGAAGTCAGGCAGAGCAAAGTAGGTTACAGATCAAAAGAAACAAAACCGCTTCGCTGATTCTCCACTGAAACCTCAGCACAAACTTAATCAAACTCCCCCTAAACCCTCTTTTCCAGCTGCCCCTCCAAACCAGGGCTCTCTTCCACGCCCTGGGGTCCCTGGCTCCTTCCTTCAGGTGCAGCCCAGCCAAAAGACCCAGGCCTCTGCTTCCCTGTTCCTTTTGGTAAGGAGTTGAGGCCACTCGCTACCAACCACTGCTCAGACCAGCTTTCAGTTCTGTACATTCATGTCCATGAGTCCATCTCCTACAGCCTGGGGGAATCCGTCACACCCTGCTTTCTGCCATTACATAGCAGCGGTGAATAGGGGTTGCCAGGGCGTTGCTCTGAGTAGAAAGCATCACAGCGCCATCGCTATCGACCTAGAGCTCTGAGAGCGAATGGGGAGGCACGTGTCCATGTGCCGAAAGGCTGCATTCTGGCCTGTGCCACAGGAGCAAGCCGGGGTAAAGAGAGTTTCCCCACTACCATCACACACACAAGACGGGCCCCATGAGAACGTCCCTTTCACTTGCTTGTTCAATGACTGTCACCTGCCCGTCCTGTCTGACTGCAGCTTCCCACGCATCACTGGCTCAGCAGACCTTCTGCCACAGTATCCAGGGGGCCAATGGTCCATCAGTCATGATCTTCATCTTCATGGCAACCCAAAAGACACGGCGCCTCCTTGCAAGCCACTCGTGGCCTGGACCGATGTCTGGGAAAGCATTTGGGGTGCTCTCTTGTGGATTCATGCAGTAGCGGTCTTGGCTTTTGGCGCCCACGTGATCGCTGGCCACGGAGTGGCATTCTTGGCGTGTCCGCTTCAGGGTGGGCAAGTCTTTCACTAGCCTGTCCCCAGCCAGGAACCTGCCAGAACTGACACCGTGCATGGGGGCAGTGGCTGGGCCCAGCTTTGACTGTCCTCTCTCCTGGCCATGCGCTCCAACCCCCGTGTTGCTGCCATGCACAGGAGCTGGGGTACCCAGTGCTGTACAGATCCAGAGAAGCACAGCAAGCCTGCTGCCCTGCCAACTCCACAAAGGCTGCAGCAAGACACTGGGCAGCAGCCGTTGCTCTGCGTGTGTCCAGTCTCCAGTCCTGTCAAGGACGCTGCCACCTGCCCAGCAATCGCTCCGGGTGGGTTCTACCGAGCTGGGTGCAGGTGGATGCTTTGATGGTGCTGGCCAGGGACTTCCCTTTGTCTGGATTAATAACCAGACTGATGCACCCTGCTTCTTGCCCTGCCCAATCTGCTCTCAGGTGCAGCGAGGCACAGAGCTACCCCTGACGTCAATAGAAAAATAGACCCCCAAGCATTTGTAATGGGCATCAGGGGGGTAGGGTGCAAAGTGGAGGTGGCAGAGAGAGGACACCACGGATGGTGTGGGCCCCTCTCAACAGGACAGAGGAGGACACCACGGATGCACAGGGGCCTGGAACAGCTTCGGGATGAGGCGAGATCACAGAGACTGGGAGTGCTCAGATTCCAAAGAGATGACCCAGGGGGAAAATGAGCAAGGTGGAGAAAGCCATGACAGGTTTGGAGAAAGTGAATAAGTTTTTTTTATTTACTTCTTCCAATAGCACAGGAACTAGGGGCCGCCAAAGACAGCAATAGGCAGCAGATTGAAAACAAACGAAAGGAAGTATTTCTGCACAGGCAGCTTGTGGAACTCCTTGCCAGTGGATGTTGTGAAGACCAAAACTATAATGCAGTTTCAATAAAAGCTAGTTAGATTCACGGAGGGTAGGTCCATCACTGGCTATTAGCCATGGTGGGCAGGGATGGTGTCACCGGCCTGTGTTTGCAGAAGCTCGGAATGGGTGACAGGGGATCAATCGCTTGATTACTCTGTTCTGTTCACTCCCTCTGAAGATGTGGAGTTGGCCACAGTCAAAAGACAGGACACTGGGCTGGATGAGTCATTGATTTGACCCAATAAGCTCATTCTGATGTTTTTAAGTAGCCCCCAGATGTATCTGTCCCCCATTATAACCTGCTGGACCCCACTTCTCTCCCAGAGGTGAGCTAGAACCCAGGAGTCCTGGTGGGGTCTCGCGCTCTCTGTTCAGAGTTAGTAACTAAGTAAGACTAGACACTGACATTTCAGCCCTACCAGTGTGCCTTATGTCTCGAGCCACAGGGAGTGAGAACAGTTTTGTACCAGAGCTCACTGGGTTTGGTGTTTATTCTCACTGTGATATAGGAAGTAGATACAGTGCTCCTGACAGCCCACTGCTGAGTTATCTGCCAAAACACTTGAGTTTTCAGGAGTCTAAGTAGTCCATGGACTCATGATCAGAGTCGCCACTCCCACCAAAATTAGAAACATCCTCCCTTGCAGCTGGGGTTGGGGGAAGGGAGGTTGAAATGATCCAGCAAGTGACAGGGGAGGGCAAGACTGGAGCGAGCAACAGGGGCAGAATCTCAGGAGACGAGGCAAAGTAGGCACAAGCTTTGGGAGAAGAGGTGGGGTAATGACGTGGCAGGGTCCGGGGGCCAAACCACCAGCAGTTGGAATGGGGGCAGCCCAGCAAGTTGCACATGGAATGATACCCACATCTGCCATGCTGTGATGCTCTGAAAGGTTAGGGAAGCATGTAATGTCTCTCTGACTCTCCAGTACCTGATTCACGCTGTGTCCAGACTCAGGGGGGGTTTCGGGAAAAGTAGCCTTTTCCCGAAAAAACTTCCCCTGCGTCCAGACTCAAGCCGCGTTCTTTCGAAATTATTTCGAAAGACCGCGGCTTTTCTTTCGATGGCGGTAAACCTCGTTTCACGAGGAAGAACGCCTTCTTTTGAAAGTTCCTCTTTCGAAAGAAGGCGTTCTTCAATGTAAATAGGGCTTCCTCGAAAGAGAGCATCCAGACTCGCTGGGTGCTCTCTTTCGAAAAAGCGGATTGCTCTTTCGAAAGATCCGCCTGCAGTCTAGACGCGATCTTTCGAAAAAGGCTCTTTCGAAAGATGCTTTCGAAAGAGCCTCTTTCGAAAGAAGCCTGCAGTCTAGACATAGCCTCTGGGAAGATGACCTGGTGCCATGACACCAGCCGGCTATTCATGGAGCTCTGTCGGAGAGCCAGAGCGCCAGGAGAATGCTTTAGATCCCTTTACAAGTAAAGAGCTGGAGCAGCCTGTCCCGGATCTGTTTGCTCTTCACCCCATAGATGATGGGGTGCAGCATGGGGGGCACCAGGAGGTACACGTTGGCAATGAGAATGAGGAAATGCAGGGGCACGTTGTGGCCAAATCGATGTGTGAGGGAGGAGAAGAGATCTGGAATATAAAAAGTCAAAATGGCGCAGAGGTGGGAGCTGCAGGTCCCAAAAGTCTTGAGCCGGGCGACTTTGGTGGGGAGGCTGAAGATGGCCCTGAGGATCTGGGTGTAGGACACAGCAATAAAAGACACATCTAGAGAGGTAACAAAGAGTGCTACCGAGAGGCTGTAATAGCTACTGATGCGGATGTCGGCGCAGGCCAGCTTCACCACGGCGATGTGCTCGCAGTACGTGTGGGCGATGATGTTGGTTCTGCAATATGGCCGCTGCCTCGCTAGGAAGGGACAGGGCAGTGACAGGATGCTGCCGCGCAGCACCACGGTGAGACCAATCTTGACAACCACGGTGTTTGTCAGGATGGTGGAATGTCTCAAGGGATCACAGATGGCCACGTAGCGATCATAAGCCATGGCCACGAAGATCCCTGACTCCATCACTGAGAAGCTGTGAATGAAGTACATCTGGGTGAGGCAGGCACTGAAACTGATCTCCCTGGAATTGAACCAGAAGATGCTCAGCATTTTGGGCAGGATGGACGTAGACAGGACCAGGTCGGTGGCAGCCAGCATGCAGAGGAAATAGTACATGGGCTCGTGGAGGCCCGACTCCACTTTGACAATGAACAGGAGGGTGAAGTTTCCCACGAGGGCGATGGCATACATGATGCAGAAGGGGATGGAGATCCAGACATGGGCCCACTCCAGGCCAGGGATGCCCTTCAGGATGAAGGTGGAGGGGTTGGTGAACTCAGTTGTGTTGGAATCAGCCATGGACTTGGGGAGAAGGTGTCCAACTCTAAGACAGAACGGTGTCTCCTGCATGTACCGTACACTCCCCGACTTCCTGTAGGTGCCCAGGGTCTCGGATGACAGTCACAGCAGAAGTGCCTGGATGGAGAGACAATGTCAATACAAGAGAATGCACACACAACTGGAGGGTGTTCTTATGGGTGGAGCAGGCTGGTTGCTCTTCACCCACTGAAAACGACATTTTCATCACTCAGAGAAATGAATTAGCCTCAACTGGCCTAACTCCACTTTTATAGTTGATGGTGCTCCATGTGTCCCTGATTGACCTGGGAAACCTTAGTCGTTACCAGCAGGAAACTTGAGCAGGTTCTCCATCATTGTTCCTCAATGCATCAAAGGTCCAGGCTGCAGGAGCTCTCCAGTCATATCTGAGAGTGGGCCGGCACATGGGTGCGGTGTGGTCCCTGCCGGAGGGACAGGCCCTGCAGGAATGGCGACGGTCCCGGGGTGGAGAGAAAGACGAGGCCAGGCATGGCACGCAGAGTGTCCCAGAGGCAGGCGGAGCTGGGTGTTCAGTTGGGGAAAAGGCCAGTCGGGGGACATGGCAGCAGTTTTTAAAGAGGAGAAAGGCAGCCAAGGTGTTTTCTCCTGCCCCAGAGGGCAGGGCACGGGGCTGTGGGTTCAAATGCCAGTGTAGAAGATTGAAACGAAGTCCCAGGGAAAACTCCCCAAGTGGGAGACCAGGGGGCGAAGGAGCCGGTGCCGGAAGGCTGTGGGAGCTCCTTTGTCGGCGGCGATGTGAAGGAGGCAGGGCAGCCCACTGTCTGGGTGGTGCACCAGGATCGGGGGTCAGCGCAGCTCCCCCTTGGGTTGCCATTTAGCCCTGGGGCTGGGCGTTTCCGCAGTGTCGGACCCCAGCGTGGGCCAGGCCAACTCACACAGCCAGTGGGCTCCACAACGGGGTGGCTGGGTGGAATAGAAGAGACCGTGCTCAGATTGGAAACTCTAATGGTGCCTTCTGACACTAAACCCTGTGGATTTGTCAATAAGGCATCAGAGTAGGCATTTCTATGTACCGAGTCTCACGGCACAGGCCAGGGAGCAGCCAGTTCCACGGAACATCTGAACGGACAGCCCCGAGAAAGGAAAATTGTTACGTTAAGCCACATTGGGCCTGTGGAACTCCTTGCCACAGGCATCGCTGGAGCAAAGATCGTCACAAACGGATTAGCCGTCTCAGGGAATGCTTGTGGTCCTGCCACAATTTAAGGCCGCCTGACTCCTCCAATGAGGAGACTCCATTTTCAGTTACTTGGCAGTTTGCCCAACTTTAAGTGTGTGGATGGGAGTTTCCCTCCCTGGGTGCTTGCTTCTGGCTGAATTGGGTTTGACAGTTTCAGGCAGAGCCATTCGGCCGATTTCTGGGATGATGCTGGGACAGAAAATGTCTTGACCGAAAAATCCTTGGAGCTGCTGCAGTGAGGAGCCCTGGTCCTGCCCTGGCTGCCAGCGACACAAGTCGGGGAACAGCCCCGGCCCCCTAACAGCCAGCACCCTGGGACGCAGGAGGGGGCAGTGTCTGTGTTCACAGCTGGCTCCTGCTCTCCTTGCTCGGCTCTTACTGCAGGGGGAGGTTTCTGAAGAAACTACAGGCCATGGCCTCAGAATCTGCCCTTGTATAGTGCAGATGCTCTCCCCTTTGGTCCCGAATACGCTCCGAGACCCAGTGCTGCAGCCACCTCAGGGCTAGAGGCCCTCAGCAGGGGTAGGGGGGGAACAGCAAGGAGGGATGTTTTGACCCAGGATACCGGAGCAAACTCGTCCCCTGGGCAGGGCCCTGGGATGTTTTGTGGCTCTGCAGAGCGCAAGGGGCCCAGACCGACTCTGCCCCTCACACCCACGCTGCCCTGGGGCTGTGGGGCAGGGGAGCCCTCGGCCAGAGCTGGTACCTGTGAGTGCTGAGAAGGACGTGTCTTCCCTGGAATCCCCCTCAGGCAGCCGCGTCCCCACCTCTCTCAGCCCAGCGTCTGCAGCAGCGTCCTACACCGAATGCTGGCACAGGGCTGGGCACTGCTTATAACACAACTCTGGGCCATCCCAGGGGGGTCACTCAGCCTCGGGGGGAGAAGCAGCATCTGGACGTAACCAGGCTGGGGACAGGAGACACTGCAGCCAATTTCCCTGTTTCCACGTCTGCTCTGCTGGGCCCTTTCTCCAGCATTTTAGGAGTAAGCAGCAATTAAGGGCCCTTCCCCAAGGGGGAGAACTCCTGGGCTCTGGGCTGAGTCGGGGAGGAATCGGCTGCTCTCTGCACTTGTGTGCATTGGAGAATTGCACTTGATTAGGAACAAGCCCAGGCCCGATGCCTGGCTCTCCGCAGCCGCTGACAGCCTGCACATGCCCAGAAGGGATGGGTCGGTATTAGGCACATGCCTGAGGGAAGACATAAGCCCCTTCTGCAGGCGCACGGGGCTATGGCTGAGGGGTCAGAGGTCAGTCGTTCTCCCCAGTAGCCACCCGCGCATTGTGAATCACAGAATCCCAGGGCTGGCAGAGCCCTCAGGAGCCATCGAGTCCAGCCCCCTACTCAAGGCAGGACCAACCCAACTCAATCATCCCAGCCAGGGCTTGGTCAAGCCGGGACTTAAACACCTCTAGGGATGGAGATTCCACCCCCTCCCTAGGGACCCAGCCCAGCGCTTCCCCACCTGCCTAGTGAAATAGTTTTTCCTAATATCCAACCTGGACCTCCCCCACTGCAACTTGAGCCCATTGCTCCTCGTTCTGCCATCTGCCCCTCCGAGAACATACTGTGTAGCGCTGTGATGGCGCGTTGGGGTTTTCCCACCTCCTGCACCCCGTAATGGCACGAACAGACTCCACCAGCCAGTAGAATGGAGGGAGTTTATTGCTTCTCCAGGATACAGCCCAGCACAGATGTCATCTGGTTCCA